CTTAAAAATTGCTTGTTTAAGTAACTTGTTTGTAAATAAACCAATATGCATAACGACATGCATATTTATGTTCATTGGTATGTATATATGTACTTATCACAAAAAACTTTAACGGAATATTATTATCGTTATATTTCTTTATAGTGTTTGTACACAACGCGTTGAGAAACGTAGCTACCAACAAAGCTCATTATTTAAAGTACGCCAACAAATGACCTGGCTGTCAAACAAGTGAATCTGAGTCGAGTTGACAGACTGGCGGCATTTGCTGTGGACTGTGGAAGTTTAAGGTGCGACTTTCCTAATACAAAAAAAGCGCAAACAGTTAGTGAGTCAATTATGTACTTACACGCGCTGCCGGCTGCTTCTTCGCAATGGTGTCACTTTGAAAATTGGTTAAGATTTGGTTCAAAGGCATGTAGGTATTTATGTACTTATGTACACATGCACATTGTATATTTGCATACATATAGAGAGTTAGGGTTTGGAAATTATACGCACCACCACCACCGATACAGTCGCTGAGTTTCAATTAAAAATTTACACCTACTTAAGTACTCCAGTAATGACTTGAAAAAAAATTAAGTTTGCTTTAAGTATAAGTAATCACAAGTATATACATAAGTACATATGTATGAATGTATATTAGACCGTATCACAAAAAAAAACTAAATTTGTTCTAAACGCTTTTGAACACTCACTGAAGGAGTATTTCAAGAGCATCGGATTTTTCTAGAACTTCTTTACTTGATTTCGGGTTTGTAAAAATGATGATGATGACCTATGATCAATAGCAAGAAGCTTAAAAATAAACTTGCAAAGCTTTTAAGCTTAAACCGTTTTGCCATTTGAGGGGATTTTTTTGAAAAGACATTAAGAGAAATTTTTTCGATTCATAAAAAACTCCATTTTTGGAGGTATTTTGAAATCGGTCCAGCTCGCTTAAATCTTAATATTTTTCCGAAATATTTTGGTGGACGTCTTAAAATATAATAGATTTTATAATTCCAATGGAAAAACAGTACCCTGTTGGTTTTTGTATGGGGAGTGATGCAGTGCAATATACGTACATATATGTATGGGCGAATGATTCTTCCCATAGATCTTGCGGAGATATTAATTTCAGTTTTTTTTTTTCAAGGGAGTTATGCATAAGTAAGGACATAAAACTGTAAAAAATAGGAACTTTTTTACCCTGCGGCATACTTAAACCAAAAAGAATTTCAAAAATATCAATGCACTCTTAAAACTGGTCATCACATCGCACACGATCTTCAAAAGTGATACAATTAAAAATGTGTAATTTTTGAAATTATGTGCTAAAAATGTACACGGAGCTTTTATTTCCCGTCTAACTCCCCATTTTATAGATGCGTATTTGTAAACGTGTTCTTACTTTCTTCTTTTCAACAAATTCATACGAAAATTTGTCGCGCATGCGTACCGCTTGCATTTTTTTTTCAATAGCTTTTCTTCACATTTTGCGGTTGACTAAAGGGGAATGAAAAAAGCAAAATGTTGCTGTAGGTTAGTGCCACTTAATAACACATTGCTTGTACACACTTAAATATGTACTAATTATGCAAATTTGTTATTCTTGTTGTTGTAACTGTTTTCCAATTCAAATTTTTCGCACGTTTCGGTAGCGCTCAAAGGTAGTCAACGCGTGCTTCGAAGCATTAACGCGCCAAGCCAAGAAAACAACAAAAAAAAAGTAGTACCAGCAGCCCAGCAACAAAGGCGATGACGCTGGCAACACGTTTGCCTGAAGCAAATGTTGCGCAACATGGTGGCGCTGCTAGCCAGCCATTTATGCTTGTGGTAGGTTGGTTTGTTTTTGAATTTTTATACCCGAGCGCACTTGTGCACAGGGTATTATAACTTTGTTCGCATAACGGTTGTTTGTAACAGCCAAAACGAATCGAGATAGATATAGACAAATGTATACATAAATGATCAGGATGAAAAAAGAAATCGATTAAGCCATGTCTGTCCGTCCGCCCGTGTATACGCTAACTCGAGCAAAAATTGAGATATCTCAACGGAATTTGGTACGTGGGGTTCCCTTTATCCAAGGTAGGTTGCTATTGAAAATGGGCGAAATCGCACTGTAACCACGCCCCCCTTCTCATATAACGGTACTTTTGAAAAATGCAAAAACTGTGATATTTCAGTAAATATTCGATCCAAATTGTTCAAAATTAGTATGTGAAGTAGAATTTTGGTACAACAAAATATTATTATGAAATTTTTGGAAAATTGGCGTCAGCCCGCCCACTTATGATGACATACTGTATCTTAGTAGCCGTTTCACCAATCCTTACCAAACTCGGTACGAGGCTTGGGTAGGGTCTAGCTAAGAAATCTGTTGAAAGTCTTTGAAATCGGGCAATAGCCACGCCCACCTCCCATATAACGGTTATTTACAGAAACACGAAAACTGCGATAAATCAGTAGCTACTGAAGTTTATTGACTCAAAATCGATTACTGCAATGACCACTGAGCAAAAAGTTGGATTATTATAAATTTTTGGATTTTGGGCGTAGCGCCGCCCACTTATGACCACACATGTGTATCTCGGTAACCGATTTATGAATTTTTACTAAACTCGGTGTATTTAATAACCTTCGTTCGAAAAAGCAATTCGTTGAGAATTATTCAAATCGGACTAAAATTGCACCGGCTTACCGTACAACGGTAATTTTCGGATATATGAAAACTCCGATATTTCAATAACTGAGGACGTTCATTTAATCCAAGTTAATACTTACAACAGTATTTTTACGTTAAATAAGACTGTTATAGAATTCTAGGTAGTTTAAAGAAAGTTGGAACGACGAAAGTTGATACCTGCGCCGGGTATAGAAAATTCGGTTTCGCCCGAACTTACATGCTTTTAAATTTGCATTTTTTTAGTTTTTTATTTGAAGTTTATGGCTTGTTTGTTGTTGTAGCGCTTGAAATTGGCTTTTCTTTTGTTCGCAAAGGTAAATAAAAAAAATAGAAGCTCGGTTTATTTTTTCAGCCAAACACTCCATAGTCAATGATTTTTGGTCTGCTTGCATTTTGGGGCCATTGTCAATGAACTTGTTTTTGCACGCAAAATTTTTGCATTTTTCCCCCACTTGGCTTGTATGTATGTATGTACGTTTGTACGTTTTTTTGCAAATTTTGCGTTGATTATATTTTTATAATCATTATTTACTATTGCCATTATTATTCTTGGTTCATTGTGACAGGCAATAAAACGCACGCTGCCCTTGAATTGTCTTCAATGGGATTGCCAGCACTCTCGTTGACATTACATTTGCAGTCTGCGTTAAATTACAGCTTAAAATGAGCGCCATCCGCTTCCTCTGTTTCGTTTTTTTAATTTTTGTTTTGCTGCTTTGCAATGACCCTAGATTTTGTGGCTATTATGATTGTTTTTTTTTTCGACAGGTGTTACTTAATTACTGCCACTGGGCATTGCTAAGGTTCTTAGCGCTTAAGTTGTTTACCAGCCGCTGACACACCCAGAAATACATAGTATGCTCAATCACTTTAGTCTGTAGTCGCCATGTCAAGTCAGATTTATCCGGTCAGGCAGAGGCCATCGCCAAGAAGATAATCTTTATTTTTTTCGGAAAGTAATTATTGCCTGATTTGAAAATGGTTCAATGGCAACTGATGAATGTACTTAATTTTAAATACTTTTGGACCTTATTATAAGGTACATTCATGTGCTTTTATATACATACATACATACGCAATGATAGAGTGCCTCCATGCAATAGCAGCAATTGTTTGCTTTTGTTAATTGTTTTAAAAAGTAAAATAAGTAACTTTAAGTGAATGAAAAGTAATTTTTTGTAGTACCTTGTATTCGCTCAGAACTTTTAAGGCAAACATATTCCGCCTGCTACTGAGCCAAGTGAACTTTGGAATGCATTTGATATTCTCAAAAAAAAAAAAAAAAATACAACGTTTTAAGCCGCTACGAAGTTTATTTCCTAGAACTTGAACTTAAGTTTTCATTGTTTAAACTCAGTATACTTAACGAAACTTTACAACAATTAATGAAGGTCAAACGAAGTTTAAGTCTTGCAATGACGAGCTGAAATACATGAGTATTCGAAATGGCCTTCAAGATGTTCAATCCAATACCTTTGGATCTGTGAGTGCTATGTTGGTCCGTAAATCATTGAAAAGCTCCAAAGTATTACAAATACTCTTAAATAAAATTGAGATACTGCTGTAAACTTAGTTCAGACGTTCCCGACGACGAAGTTACACTGAGAAAAGAGTTTAGTTACGTCAACTAAATATCTTCCCCTCAACTGACCTTATTAGATGAGATCTATGAATTTGAAGACGATTAAGTTACGGAAAGCTCATTTCAAAATTCTTACTTCCTATGTATGCACTGAGAAAAAAGGACAAATTTATGGGATTCGCGTGTTAACGAAAACTCACCACCGCATGGCGGTGACGTTGCCGTTGCTTCTCTCTCTCTCTCTATCAACAGTAAATTTGATATTACGCTACGTCGTTGACTAACTGAGCTTTTAGTTTTATCTTACCGGACCACTGTGGTGAAAATATCCGCGGTACGTTAAAGTCTTCAAAAGTGGATAGCGAGAATTTCACTGACTTCTAAATCCTAAAAAGGTTTGCAGAGAAGCTACTAGTAAGGCCAGAACAGAACAAATCGTGTACCAAGGTGGCTAAATTGCCGTTTTAAGCAACCATTTGGGTTTCAATGCCATCTACTCGCCCGACAAAGTTTTAACGGATAGAGAGTGTTCTATTTCGCCTTACTAGATTATGAAATGAACACAGAATTATGTCACAGGTTTCCTTTATTTTAGAATCGAACGGGAGCAGAGAAATGGGCAATCCAAAAGAGGAATTTTTTGGTAGGTATATACCAAAGATGTGCCATTTTGCTTTCATATGTAATTAAAATATTACTAATATTGGTGCTAGGAATACATAAATTATGTAGAAACATACTCACCTCTTCGACCTTTTTATCCACCATGCTGGGAAACAGGAACCAACCGCAGTAGGCGCCCAAAGCAGCTGTTAACAATCCAATGAAACTGACTATCAACGACCAATGAAGCATCTTCGACGAGCACCGAGGTACAGAGCCAGGGAAGAGACTCTTCGCAATGTTTGCTGTTGTCATGAGGGAGCAGCAAAAGAAGCAAATTGACGAAAAGTTACTAAATCGAATCTGGCGAGCTTACAGTATCACCAAAAAGTATGTATTTAACACACAAAAGCACAGACACTAATGATGAACGAGAACTATGTAAAAAAAAAAAACACTTAGATGAAGATGATGAAGAAGACACATAAATATTATGGATTGTGAAATAATAAAGAATACATTTAACTACTTTAACAGAAAAAGTCTCTTCGTTATGAGTAAGCGTTGGTTACATTTGTTTGCACTGGTGGTTGCTTTAATTTTCACATTAATTTTATTTATATTGTCACTGTTTAAATATTATCACCTCTTATTGGCGTTGCTTATTTCATTCTGACACTGTCTACAGGTTTACAGACTAAACTTGAGCAGGTTCTAGAAAACAGTATGGAAACACTTTGGCGGTGGGTTATTAAACTTTTAAATCGGTTGTTGATTTTCGCACTTTTTTATGCCGCTCAAATGAATAGCTTAGATGGGCCCTTACTTTACATTTTGACACATAAATAAGTAGTAAAAAGGTGAAAGAAACAAACAAAAGAAAATAAAAAATCTATAAAACAAAATAAGAGTTAGCAGAAATGTAAATAGATGACTGAATCGAACAGACGTGCCTAAGGAAGAGGTCAAAGCGGCGGTAAACAAAGAGAAGAGGCAATAAAAGCAATAGAGACGTAATACAAAAAAAAAAAAAAACAAAACAAAAAAACATTTAAGCAAAAATCAAAGTACAGTAAAAAATATCAAAAAGAAATACATATATCTATCGTCAGAGATCTGAAAACCAGTTTTTATTTTATTTTTTTTTATTTTTATTTTTTATTATTTTTTGTTTGTTAATTTTTATAGATACTGTTGAATGTCTAGGCCGCTGCATGGATGTTGTACATACAGATGTATGTATGCCATTAGCAGATTAACGGTGACGTTTACGTTAACGAACTAAGCTCGTAATTTTAGCCTAAGAATGCTACAGTCAGTTTTTCACGGATTTCCTTGAGGTTCATTGAATTTGACAAGTGAGGAAATTTAGAAATGCTGCCAAAAAAAGAGATACGCCTGGCAATTTTATACGCTAGTACAAATTGCTGTAGAAACAAACAGGGCGTCCAAGATCAGTCCATGCTAAAATTATGGGGGGGGAGGAGGGAAATCTTATCCCCTTTGCTGAGAAAATTGCAGAGGAGATGAATCCACAGTTGAAAATGACGGAGTCGATGGCCTAACAGTCGACTGGGATGAATTAAGAATAGCATTTTGTGGCTAGATATCCACAAGGCCGCTGGATCTGATGCCCTGCCGGCTTAGTTACTCAAGTAACTGTAAGAATGGTCTGCCCTATCAACAAGAACGACGCATGCTCCAACAGTGTATGCGCTATTGTAGAGCGTATGATGTGAAAGGTGAAGTCCATCGTCGACTGTCTTCTGATTAGGCTTTATTTAGCCATAGTAAATCCAATATAGACAAAGTATTCACCATACGCGAAATTTTGTAAAAGACCTGCAGGATGAGGCACAATTCATGTAAATGACCTTTTTTTTGGTGATTTTGAAGCCGCTTTCAACAGCAGGCAAATAAGTTGAAACTAAATCGCGATTACTGAATTTGGTATCCAGGCGAAAGTAATACAGCTGTCTAAAATGACAGCAGCAGCTCCGTCAGCACTGGGAATGGCTTTACCAAGCCATTTGATACGCACCGACTTTTAATACAGGGCGCATCACTATCGCGCGACTTCTGCTGGCATGGTTATACCAGATTTACAATTCACGTTGAAGGAACAAAAGAACATCGAAATTATTTATTTTCACCACATATGTATATGTAAATGTGTATGTATGCCCGTACTCTTCACTACAATTTTTATTGCTTTGAAACTCAAACACTTGAAACCACAAAAACAATTTATTTGTGTGGTCACGAATTAAAGCTATGCTGCAATATCAAAAAATTTTACTTAATTTTTTCTCGCCAAAAAAAAAAAAATAGTGAGCTCCCTTGAACTCTGGCCACACTGCTGCCTGATCATAATTAAGAAATTTGTTTGAGAGTACACAACCATTGCCATCACCGCAAATACCATCTTTGCTTGCTGATTATCGGACAAAAATACTACTTTATTGGCATAAATATTGCAGCACACTTTCGATTTCGATTCGCATGGTGTAGTGTGTGTGCTCGTTTCGGCTTTTTGATTTTCAATGATGATTTTCAATTGATTGCATTTGGCAATGCAGAAAAAACGAGAAGCACTTGTCCCTACTCCGGCAGCGGCCGCTTGCTGACACACAAAATTTGTGTGTGTGTGTGTGCGTGTTAAACACCACTTTGCTTACACTTGTATGCACTCGAATCGAAAGCTGGTGCCGCCGTTGCATCAACCTGAAAATCTTGTACAAAAACTCGACGCGGTTGCGGAGGTGGTCGCTGATATTGTGGTTGTTGCAGTGGACGCGTTGAATCGCGTATTATATGCGAGTAGACGTGGCCAGCTTGTTGCATGCTTCAAATGAAACTAACTGAAACGGAATGAAATGTTAATTGAACTTGAATTCCGAATTGGTGGTCGCGCGGCCAATGTGAAGTTGTAAGGATTGTGTTATCTTTTGTAGAAAAGTTACTAGTAGCTATGAGTGTTTGGCGACCACAGAACACGCTTGCCCACATAACTGACCATTGAAATACACTAAGCAGCAGTGAATGTTTCAGCTTAGTATTTATAATGGCTATTGCGTTGAAATACTTTGGTGGCGAAAAATTGCATGTGCTGTGCAACAATTACTGTTAGATATTATCACAGATCATCATTACATAGTTTTATTGATTCTAATTCTATTTTGTGTTGTTTTTGTTCTGTGTTCTTATCTTGTAATACCTAATTTTTCATCACTGGCATGTGATGAGGAGTAACATCGGTGATTAATTGCATGCAATTTTAGGGCGCACAAGTTACTTACATTCATGTGGACACACACAACACACAAGTTATAACAACAACAAATTGTCGTGTGGCCACGTGCAAGCACGAATGTACATACATACATTAGGCTTGGTCGCGAAAAAATCGTATTTTGTAAAGTTTATTTAACTGAATTTCGGCATCAACAAAAATTTCAGCATAGACAAAAACATTTCGAAGTATTTGAAATCAATTTCAAAGTGTTTGAAAGGTATTTTTCAGTACATATTTATATTGACCCAAATTTAATTATTTATCCTTGATCATAGAGTGATATGAAAACTACGCAAATGTTTTTTTCAATAATGAATAACATCTCCAAATCGTGTCATATTTTAGTATGATATGAAAAATTTGGACTTTGACGTTTCCCTGGTTCGAGTTTGTAAAGACTTCCCAGAGAAGGTGGAAAACAAAGACTTTCATATGATCTGCTGCGAGGTTACCCATACCTGGTGAGTAACTGGGCGGCTAACTTCAACCCCGGCGTTAATAACAGAAGGAGTGATTTTATTCACTTGGAAATACCAGAGCCCCAAAGCAACTCTTCCCCCGAGTTTAAATACGAAGCTGTAGTGAAAATCTAACTTTGAGGACCATGGAAGTTGCTTAATATTGCTGTGGAGGTTGTCCGCTGCCAAGAGACAATTTAAGCCAACTTTCTAAATAACTTCCATTTTCTTGTATTGATGAAAATTTTTATATGACAAAAATATTTGTGAGGCACACTTTTCAGAATATTTCTCATTAGCAACGGTGAGGTGAGGACAAACTTTCTAATTTGGTGTATGAATGAGTGGGTACATACATAAATATATGTTCATACATTAAGGTGCGTCACCGAAAATAGTAGTGCGTGTGGTTTTACGACCAAATTAGAAAGTTAGTCCTCACCTCACCATTTCTAATGAGAAATATTCTGAAGTGTGTGCCTTACAAATATTTTTGTCATATAAAAATTTTCATCGATACAAGAAAATAACTTGCTAAGATATATATGTATATCTTATATTGGACAAAAAAGCGTTTAATTTCTCAACTGAACTTTCTCTTAGCTGGATACATTTACAGAGTCTATTTTTTTCTATTATCCTTCCAAATACTAGCTCTCCAAAAGGGCGTTCTAGTATTGATCTCTTCATTCGACCCCAATCTTTCACCGCAGATCCTTTCCTTTAGGCTTTGAAATAGGAAATGCTCATCTAAATCGGGAGAATATCCTGCATAGGGTAGCATTTCTTTGCCCTGGTTATGATAACCCCACTTAATTAAACTTTTCTTGTCTTAATCGAAATTCACGAAGTTTCCTGCATTCAATGGCTGCCTAGTACAAAGGAAAAGACACAGCTTGCGGTACAAGTAGTCTATTAACAAATATCTGTTGATAGTAGGTAATATAATTATTTTCGTTTTGTTTTTTCTTGCACGAAGATTGATTGGGGCGTATTCTTGTTTTCATACGAATCGAAAATCATGAAATTTTCCTATCATTTTCTATACAAAAAATTCAAAGTTTCGATTCGTACGAAAACCAGAATACGCCTCATTATATCCATTCAAACTAATTTGGTCGATTTTTTTAGAAGCGTTACTACGCTTTACATTGTCTATCCTTCCAACTGACATTCTGTTCTAGTTCACGAAAAAGTGTTTATTCTGGAAGTCATAAAATTTGTAAAAACTTTTAGTCCCTTGGAAGAAGAATGCAATTTTTTTTAATTTGCTGAGTGATCCGCCTTAATGCATAGGCTTCTAAGGGCCATTATACGTTCATACATACACATTTAAGATGTATGTAGATATTTTTTTGGTGTTATGAGCCATTTGAAGGCTTATTTTTAAGTGCCAGTTAATTCAGTCATCAATTTGTTGCACTAAAAGTTCCGAAGCCTCACAAAGAATTTCACTTGAAATTTAAATAAATGAAAGAGGCGCTTTGTTCCAATTGAAACTACTAGGAAAAGAAGTTTTGTTTGCATGCAAATATTTTTTTTTGTTGACAAAAATACAAATTTTTGGTTTGCCACTTCTTTTTTTTTTTGTTACACTAATTAACCTTGTTTTATATATTTGTGTGTGTGTGTATATATTATTTTAGCATAAAAAACACTCAACCGCACTACTGTCGTATTGCATACCGTTTACTTTTGCTTTGCGTTTTACGCGTTAAAATATATGTATTTATGTACGTATGTGCACCACTTCGTCACTTTGAGACTAAGTTTCCACGTCTTTTTCTTCTTCTTCTTAAACATTCAACACTTTATTAACATCTCATTTGCGTGTGCGACTAGAGTTGAGCTTCAATTTAAACTAAAACTGCCAAACTAAAAAACATTCAAGCCAAGCTGAAACGATTTGAGCAAAGTGCCGAAATGCCGAAACGCTGCGCTGCTGCTACTGCTGCTGCTACAGCTACTGCACTAAAGCAATGTCAAAAAAAAAATATATATGTCTGTATAGAAATACAAAATAATATGAAAAGGTAAGAGCAAAATGTCTCAAAACAAAAAGGTAATTGTTGTAAGTGCCAAATACAACAACAATACTCATTAGCAGCAAAGCCACAAACTATACCGTGTTTCGTCACTATAGCACATCAGCTAAGCTGCCCTTGAGTCGCCGTAAAATCCTTATGAAATTTTTATTTCTCCCTCTTCTGGTCATACTGCCAATACATTGCGAATCAGGTGCGTATGTTTAGATTTTAGTTTAGTATAACCTTTTTCTCGAAATCTTGTGACTTTGAAACTGATTTAATTCTACCTCTTTAAACTTCCACTTGCCTGCTCGTTCTTACCTAAATAAAATTTTAGTTGCAGCACAAATAACGGCTTAGTTTTCACAATATGGCTAAAAGAGTGGGGATACAGGATTGCATTTGGATTTATAACACATTTAAATCTGCTTAGCTTATGTGCTTTAGTTATGAAACGCACTTACATATACATATGTGCAAACCTACATACCTTTTTACATGAATAATTTCTAATTTTGTTGTTGCTTACCTTTGTCAGTGGGAGTCTCTATTTTGATTTTCTTTGTGCGCATTTTGCCTCTTTTCAGCGTCGCAAAGGTTGCCCCAACTACACACACACACACACACACACACATACATGCATATGTACATACAAACGCGGCTAAGTGCATAGCCGGCACTTAATACATGTGGACATACATACATACTTATGTTCATAAAGGTAACCATACCTTTGCTCACTCACTCTCTCTCTCTCTCCCTCTCTCTCGAATTTTCGCTTTGGCCATTTTCGATCAGTTTCTTGCATTCCTCTGCATACCACCTGGTCTCAATGTATTGTTGTTGTTGTTGCTAATTGATCGCTTGATAATTTTGCCTTGCTGCTATTGCCTGATTTTGGCCTTTTTAGCCAAAAGCTGAGCGGTAAAGTGGCTACTTGATTGAGTTTATGGTTAGAGACCTTCAGCTGTAAACCTGAAGCGATGACGGCGACGGCAGCGGCCACAATGTTGGCCGCGTCGGTGGCCAACAAGCAGCTGATCGAGACATGAATTTTAAATGTAAACACTAGTAGCAGACGATGGCAACTACAACAAAAGAAACCGAAGCATCATTGACTATTAATATAACTGAACGCTATATATATCTGTATCGATTCATTAGTGGCTGCTAGTTGCACTAACTTAGGCTTAGGAAAGACTTAAAAAATATCTTTACTAACAATAACTTGGCGTATGTACATAAATATATTTGTACGTTTTGGCATTGTCTGCATGTTAAAGGTATGTAGGAGATACATGCAATAAAAATACATATTCGTCATTATTGTTAAAAATGTGCGGAATGTACTGATTTATTAAGTAGGTGTTAAACGTTCTCGGAAATACCGAACAATAATACAAGTGCTCTGAATTCGTTTAGTTAGAACTGAAAAATTTAGTACTAGTTCACCCTTACTCACTTCGAAACTTCTGCGTGTTATATTACGTGTAATTTATTTCAAGAAAACTAAAAACTTATTTAGATCCAACCAAAAACATAGGTGGTTCTCCCATTTTACTTTTTTTTACCCTCTTCCATATTGTGATACATTCTGTTAAAAAATGTCCTTAATTCGAGTAGCCTTTGATTTTAAAACCAGGCGTGCTCATCCCGAAGCTCAATTGGCTCACAACAACATTACTGTGGCACACTTTGGCTCACTTATGTACAACAAACACAGAATTCGTGTGAGCTCAACATACAAAATGTTCAGGGACAAAAATCGATCGACATTCATTCAATGAATTTCTTTTAAAATATTTTTAAACTACAACCTTCTTCAACTTCCGTCTCTCACTTCTTCATTCTTCTGGCTGCGTTTCTTTATACATTCCGGATAATCCCATTTCACAGCCGGAATGAACAGAATGCTTTTGAAATATACGTTAACATATCATCAGGAACGTTCTAAAGAATAAGTAAACAAAAAAGTGTATTCCAAACGTTCAGAATGAATAAAGAAATTCAGCCTCTATATTCTTTGGTACCCGTCGCCCAGGCAAACAAAGCCTTAGGTTTTCCTAGTAGGTAGGTACGCTCGCAAGTAGTAGACCGCTAAAAATGACTTATGTCCTAAAATAGGTGTTCTGCTACGAGGCACTTTGTAATGTTTTCATTCACTGAAATCCTCTTTGGGCATTTTTTTTATCAGAGCAAGGTCTACCTTAAAGCTGGACCATGTGTCCTATAA